CCCAAGATCCCGAGAGGAGAAGGGACTGCGGTATGACCATCCCCCCTGGGGGGTGATTTTTCGCTTTCTGTCTCTATGTCTCTGTGTGTGTCTGGCGAGCGCACGCGCCCTATAGCAAAAACCTCTCAAAAAAAAAAAACCAAAAGCTAGTACTGATATGAGGATAGGTGTCACATAGGGAAATGGAATACAATTGAGAATCTAGAAATAAGGTCTCATATTTACACTTAGTTATTTCAACAATGGTGCCCAAGCAATTAAGATAAAAAACTTTTAACAAATGGTGCAAAGACAACTGAATATCTACATGCAAAAGAAGGAAATTGAACCCCTACCTAAGATCATAGACAAAAGTTAATTTGAGGATTGGACAAGAGAGTAGTGGTAAAATGTGACACTTCTGCGAGGCTTCCCTTCATGGAGAGTTTTGGGCTTTGCACCTGGAGACCTTTCTGAGTACTCTAGGTATGAACATACCCATGATCCAGGGCAGACTGAAGCTGAGAGTAGATCACTGCATCAAGATTGTGTTAGGGGGACCAGCAGTGTGCCCAAAATTCCAAGAGGAGAATGGAGAAGAAGAGACTGCAGTGTGGCCATCCCCACTGGGGGTTGAATTCTTGCTTTCTATCTCTCTTTCTCATCTCTCCAGGGAGTGCATGTGCCCTATAGCAAAAATTTCTTGGGGAAAAAAACTGAGTTAGGGGTTCTCTCTCTCTCTCCCTCTCCCTCTCTTAAAAAAAAAATTAAAAAATAGGTCAAAATGGATTTAAAAACTATTATAAGAGCTATAACTTAAAAATCCCTAGAAGGTAACAGGGATAAATCTTCATGACCTTGGATTAGACAATACTTCTTAGTCATACCACAAGGAAAATGATCACAAAAATTGATAAATTTGGACTTTATCAAATCTATTATCTGGGGGTCAGCTAGTGATGCAATGGCTAAAGCATCTGGATCCCACATGGCTGACAGCATGGTTCACATCCTGAACCTGGAAGCTTGAAAAATACAACAGGCACATATGCATGCATGCTCAAAATCTCAAGAGGAGAATGGAGAAATAAGGATCACAGCATTAGCATCCCCCCAGGGAATGATTTCCCTCCCTCCCCTCTCTTTCCTCCTTTTCTTTCCCTCACTCCTCACCTGCAGTGAGTACATGCCCCCTATAACAAAACTTAAAAATAAAAAGTATGAAGAAAGTAAAAAGACCATCTAGATAATGAGAGGAAATATTTGAAGATCATATATTTGATCCAGAATATATAAGTAACTTACCACTCGATAATAAAGAGAAAATATAATTAAAAATGGATAAATGTGAGCACCAAGATGTGTGCCTGTAATCTCAGCTATTCAAGAGCTGAGGCAGGATGATCAATAGTTAGAGGCCAGCCTAAGCAACACAAAGAATGTGGATAAACTGGAATCCTCAATCGCTACTGGTGGGAATGCAAAATGATGCAGCCACTTTGGAAAAGAGTCTGGCAGTTCCTTAAATAGTTAAACTTAGCATTATCAGATGATCCAACAATTCCATTCTCAATATAAATAAAAATAACAGCATTATTCACAATTGCTAAGACATGGAATTAACCCAGATGCCCAAGAACGGATGACTGGATTGAAAAACTATGGCACACATACACTATGGAATACTACTCAGCCATAAAAAACAATGAGATCTTATCATTTGATACAAAGTGGATGAATATAGAAGATTTAATGCTAACCAAAGTAAGTCAGACTATGAAAGACAGATTTTGTGTGTCCCAGTTCAATAATTGCTGAATGTCTGCACTTGATGGCAGAAACTGAAAGACTGGAAAACGTAATAGCAGATACAGTAAATATAGGTACCATAGACTATACAGGAAGGGGTGGCAATTGGGGGTGGAAGGAAGGGCTCAGGAAAAAAAAATTGATAGACACAAGAATGGAAAGTTATTGTATATGGTAATATCTTTGGCTTGCTTGACATTCAATGCATTGAGAATCCATATTGTATGCTGTAAAGATGTACAATGATTAAATGCAAATAAAAATTTTAAAATATTTTTTAAAAATGTCCACACAAACACTTCTACATGAATAGCAGAACTACTCGCAAAAGCCAAAAAGTAGAAATAACCCAAAATTATCATTAATGACTGGAAATACAAAATGTGGTATATTCCTTAAAATGGGATATTATTTGGCAGTAAAAGGAAATGAAGTACTAATATGTGTTACAATATGGATAAACCTTGGAACCAGCAGTGGGCATAATGGCTATGTTGCTGGACTCCTATGTAGTCGACCGCGGTTCAAGTACCAGACCCAGTGGCTTAAACTCACACCGGACACATATGCATGAGTGCCCAAGATCCCAAGAGGAGAATGGAGGAGAAGGGACTGTGGTGTGGCCATCCC